TGATGAATAAAAGGCTGTGGACGGTAACAGAAGCTATATTTTCAACCTCCATTTCTCTATGGGAGGAGTGTCTGTTGGCCATGTGACAAGGAATGAGGCAGATACCTTCAATTCAGTCTTCTACTTCTTGATGTGAGGGGAGTCTGATGGCTCGATGAGAACTGTTCTGCCATGTTCTAGGGGCTGAGAGAGAAAAAAATGGTGTCATGACCATGGGTTCTGGACAGTCCTTTACAGTTGAAGTGCTGGGGAAAATGAGGCCTGTTGCTCCTCTGCCCACTTTGTGTGTAAAGTGGCATCAAGTTGCAGCTGACTTATGGTAACCCCACAGGGTTTTCAAGGCAATTGATTAAGCAGACGTGGTTTGCCATTGCTTTCCTCTGCAAAGTCTTCCTTAGTGGTCTCCCATCAGGTACTGACCTTGCTTAGCTTCTGAGATATGATGAGATTGGGCTATACTATACCATCCCCCCCCCCATACATCTAAAGTATAAAGAAAAAACTGGCAACTCAAATTCTTCTGTGTAGTGAAAATTCACTCTACAACTGCTGCTGTTTCATAAAAGCTATGACTGTTTCATCTATTTTTCTGTTCTTGTGATAAGAAGCGGCCAGGGAACACAACTACCCTTGTTATTCAAATCAGATGTCTTATAGGTCACTTTCTGAGAGGGTCCCCTGAACTCACTACCACATCCGGGCTGAGGGTCTGAATGCTGTCCTTGGCAGGGCCACTGAAGCATTAGCAATGGTGAAGGGAAAGTTCCAACAGCTTACTGTCCTACTTACTTCCCCTGCTGGTATAATTAACCAAATATTGATACTATTACGTGTGTGTTTGGGAAAGGGATAACAAGGTCTCCTAGACGAACAGACAGCAGACAATGGCAAGCATTCTAATGAGCATTGTTGTATGAGTGTGGCTGTATGGGATGAAGGGGCCAGGCAAAAAGGCATCTTGCAGCATGAGTGCTGTCACCTGAATGAGGCTATGGTCCTCCTTCCAGTCACTTCTGATTAGCTATAGCACTACCAATGCAATCCTAAACAGAGTTATACATTGAAGTCAGTGGGCTTAGAAAGATGTAATTCTGTTTGGGAATGCATTGTACATTGTTTTAGGAGCATGTACGTGTTTGAGTGCACCCTTTATCAAGGGTGTGCATAACCAAGAATTTAACATGAATACTTGTATGCACAGGCTTCCCTGATCTTGTCAGATCTTAGAAGCTAAGCATGGTTGGCCCTGGCTAGTATTTGAATGGGAGACCTTCAAGGAACACCAGGGTCATGATGTGAAGGCAGGCAATGGCAAACCACCTCTGAACTTCTCTTGCTTTGAAAACCCCATGGGGTTGCCATAAGTCAGCTGTGACTTGATGGCACTCTCCACCACCACTTGTATGCAGAATCTATACAATTCTAGCAAGCTATGGCGCCAAATTACATAAGGACCCTTTAGGACTGTCTGTATGGCTGGGAGTCGTAGGTTCCATGCATAGATAGGGCTGGAAGGTATATAAAGGTATGTGATATTGGGTGGGGCTCTAGGAAACTAGAAGCTCCCCTACCCCAAATCTGTCTGTTCCTGTGTCTGTGAGCTTAAGGTTTTCTCTTGTGTGCTTTCTGCAAATGCCATTAACAGCCTTAAAACATTTATCAGCGGTAGCCTCGCCATCTTTGGAGCCAAGTGTCCTGAATGTCAACCTACTGGGAAAGCTGGGGGTTGGGAGAGAAGTTGTGGCAGAAAAGTAGTCGTTGGGATGTGGGACCTCTCCCGTCTGCTTCTTCAATGAAAATCATACCCTCTCCTCCACCAAGCTACATTTCCCTAACAGAAGCAGCCTTTGGAGATTTGTTACATATGTTGTCATGTAATGTAGACAGATTCTGAGATGGCTTTTAAAAAGAATGTCACAAGTCATGGAGGATAAGTCCATCAACAACCATTAACCTAATAACTAAGTAAGTCTGTGTGACTGTCCTTTGAATACCAGATGCCAGGGAAGATGATATGTGAGTGTTGCTGCCTTTGAACTGCACTTGAAAGCATGAGCCAATGGATCTTCTGTCCAATTCATCATTATATTTTTAATATGCAGCCAGCCTGGAGAAGAAACATACTTTGCTTGGAAGGAAGCACATTGCTTTGGGAAGCATTTCCCCCTCCACTTTACTTTTGGGGCAAGTACTATTGCGCCTTCTCTTTGTTTTCTTCTGGGCACATACTTAGGCTGCCAAGTGTAGCAATGTTAATACAATTTTGAGGTATTTCAAGTTATAACAGAAGGATGAGATGAGGGAAAATATTGTCCTCACCAATCTTCTCCATTCTTTTCTCTTTTTCCTTCTGCAGGCTTCCAAACAGACCTGAGTGGCAAAAGCATGAATCCTGCCAGGAGACTGAGCCAAGGAAAGGCTGGTCAGAGAAGGGAAACCGCTGCCCTCGCTATCTGCTCCTTTCCAGAGCTAATCCCAGATTCTGAGCATTCAGATAGGAAATCACTCTGGACACCAACTATACATTTTCATAACCTTTACTTGTCTGGCTAAATAATGGACAGGCAGAAACCCTAATTAGTAGAAACTGTAACCAACTTTTCTAATGGGATGTTATATCACTGAATGGACATGATCCTCAAGGAAAATGTGGTTGTGGAGGTATATTTCTCCATAGGCTTTCAGAAATCAGACCTGGAACAAATCAATTTGCTTTCTTACTAAAACTGTATGTATTAAATAAAAATTGGTCAGCATTATAATTCTTTTCTTAACAAATTTACTCATCAAAAGAGTTAAAAGTGCAGGCTGAAACCACAGAAGCATTTTAAAGTAGTCTAATTACCACTTGAAAATTATCCTCTGCTTCAGTTAATGCACATTACCATGGTTCACAAGTTACTTAATGTTTTCTTGCTTTAATTATCATATCTTCAGTTAGTTCAGCTAGTCCCAGAGAAAATATTCTCCCAATACCCTTATCAGATGCTGGTCCATACTTTCCTACCACTGGACATGGATGCAGTCTCACAGGCATCCTCTGAACCCACCCCACTGCTTTTCCTTCACTGTTCCCATCTCTGATCTCCAGTGAAATGGGCAAAATCAGTATTTTTTTAATGATGCCCTGTCACTTTATTTTTTACAAATTAAAGTATTATTGTGCACACCAGTACTGACGGAAACTAAAACCAAAAATTCTCCTTTCTCTTAATAGAGCAACAGCAGCAGCAGCAGCAGCAGCAAAGGGGAAAGGTGGATAAATTAAGATTTCCTATATCAATCACAAGGCTTCCGTGAGCTTGCCAAAGTGGTGGGGTAGTGGAGAGATAGGGTGATGATAGTCATAGGGTCTGGTGAATTTGATAAGCCCTCCCCCGCATATTTCCATACTTTGGGAGGCAAGGTAAATTTGGGGGGGAAAAGACCAATCCCCAAATGTGCACATTTAAGAATGGTTAAAAATGGTGGCTGGAGGACTAGAATGCTTATATTCATCAACTGATTTAAAAATCTGGGACAAGTGCATTTAAAACTGTACTTCTGTCTTTTGGACTTGATATTAACAGCAGGGGAGATTTGCCATCTTTTAATATAAGTTGTATGGTTTTATATTGACTGACAGTTTTAATGAAATTTTAATGTATTTTTATATGTCGTTAGCTGCCCTGAGCCTGCCGAATGGCGGGGAGGGCGGGATATAAATGTAAATATAAATAAAATTTTAAAAAGCATATTAACATAAGAACATTAGAGAAGCCAATGCTGGATCAGGCCAATGGCCCATCCAGCATTGGCTTCTCTTATGTTCTTATGTTAATTAAGTGGCATATGTGAAATCTGTCTCACTTTTTTGGGTCTATTTGCTTCAGTAAATAACTCCAATAAAATACATCTCAACATATTCTTATATTGTCTCCTGAAACATCCACAAAGCACATGTGGTATAAAGTGGTCTATTTTTTAAAAAAATGTTCCCAATTAAAGACAATCTTCAAATTTGGTTTTCAAAAAAGATAACAAAAATCTAAAGACAAAAATCTTGTCAAATGCAGTAAAATATTTTGAAATGTATTTTTAATAAAAAGTAAAGTATTTTCATTCATTTGCAAAAACATTAAAATGGACATCTTTGAAGAGAGAAAGAAAATGGTTTGTTGAATTGTGACCATTTTTATGCAAAAAAGACTGACAGGTAGATATTAAATCTAGATTATTTTAAATTGCTTGACAAATTGATTTTTTAAACATAAAAGGCAAAATATAATTTACTGTGTTACAATTTTCTAATTTATATTATTATAGCCTATGATTCATACTTTGATAATATCATATAATGCCAGCAGTAACAGCAGCAATAAGGTCAGGAGCAAAGATAGTTAACACAGATAGATGTGTGTAGACAGGACTGAATAAAAGTTTACTTTATATAGGCCTAAACTTCTCAACTCCTCCTGTTTAGGGGTGGGAGTGAGCAAGTGAGGAGAAAGAAGAGTTAAAAATTAAAACAGTGCTTCACCCATTCTTCTAAAACCATGCAACTCCGTGGGGGGACGGGACACTTTGTAGGTCATAACACTCTTGTCAGCGAAAGCCCTACTAGTTATTTCAAGATAGAAAAGGAAGAGTTTGGGAAGGAACGGGGGGGGGGTGGGGTGGGGTGGGGGGAAGCGTCACTAGTTTATACCGCTGAAGTACAGAACTCAGCCACGACGATTCTATTATATTGTAAAGAAAACCTTTATAAAGCGCGAAGACAGGCAACCTAAGTTAAAGTTCGGCAGTCGTGTTCATAATAATGTATGTGAATGTGGTAGCTGCTTCTTTTCTGCTCGCCGTCTGCGCCTATCTCCTCTCCTTGTGGCTGGGTACTCCGGCACTGTGTGCTGGTTGTACTCGCTCTCTCTTCCTTTCTCTCTCTCCCTCTCTCTCCCTCCCCCCTCCCTTTCTCGCTCTCTCGCTCTCTCCCTTACACTGCCAGCCCCTGATGTGATGGCGAAGAAACCCCGTTGACAAGGCACTGCTTTTTCATGACGGTGAGTTTCCCTTTGAGTGTATTATAATTTTGTGATAAAAATTTCAAGGAAAAAAAAACACACAACCTCCTTCCTCCCTTCCTTCGGGGAGGGAAAAGAGAGGGGGGAAATCTATCTCCAGACAGACAGAAAAGAAAGAGGAGCAAATTAACAACCAGGAGTTGCCAAAACCAGGATATTAGGTTTCAGCCCAGAGAGCTATTGGCTCTGGGGCTATGTATATAAATATATATCTAGAGAGAGAGAGAGGGGGGGGGGGGGGGAGGGAGGAAGACGATGAAGAAGAGGGCGATTTTGCGCGGGTGGTGCTTGGTGGGCAGATGTTAATTCACATGGAAATGAAATATTTATTTCTTTTGCTGCGAGAGGTTGTGGTGGCGGCGGCTACCGAGGGCACTTCCAAAAATGTGTTTCTTAAAGGGGGAGAGACAGACAAGGAGGGAGAGAGAGAGAGAGAGAGAGAGAGAAAGAGGGGAGGACAGATAAGGTTTCAGGTCTGGGCTGATAGCTGCGAGAGAGGGGGAGAGGTTTGGGGTGTTTTTTTCCCCCTCTCGTGCTGATGCCATGCAAATTCAGGAGAGAGGAGGGAAAAAAAACCCCTCTTTTAATGACTCATTGATTGAGCCGGTTTAAAATTAGTTGTTGTGTTTTTTTTTTGGACGCCCCCTTGGTGGCCATCAAGAGAGGGGAGAGAAAGAGGAGTGTGTCTCTCTGTGAGTGTGGTGTGTGTGTGTATGTGTGTGAGGAAGAGGGGGATCGAGAGTGTGTGTGTGTGTGAGGGAGAAAGAAAAATAATCTTTTCAAATCTCCTCCCTCTTTTTCCCCCCCTCGTTTCTTTGCTTTTCTCTAAAGCTCTCTGGTCTGTGAAGCACTTTTTCTTCCTCCTCCTCAGGAAAATGGAGACACTTCGTCTTCTCTCTCCTGGGCGTGAGGCTGCCAAGGATTTTTCTTTTCTTTTCCATCCCTGGTTGGATTTGCCTTCGTCTACTACCTCTACCGTCTTGTAATAATTTTCACTGTATTCCCAGCATGGGCTGTACCTTTTGTCTTGGATTTTTTTGCCCCGTTATTTTTATTTGTATGGGCTTTTTCTGTGCTATTTATTCGGGTTTTTTCTTTGTTTGCAGTTTATTCCGATCTCTTGTCTATGCGTCATTGTTACAAGGAATGGAAATGGTGATTGTTTCGGTATATGTAATTCTAGGTAGGATTTAAGGTGAACAGAAAACCGATTTCGAAGAAAATATTCCGCTGTAATTTATATTTTAAAACTGCAAGAATAATAAATACTTTACATCTATAACCGCTGTTTCGTTTTTGCCGTTTGATCAGTGAATCTGTACCTGCGATCGGATTAGCCTTCCATCCTAGTAATTTTTGTTAATTGATTTTCATTTATGGTTACACTAAACTGGTGGGGGCGGGACGAGGAAAAATAAAGAATTCATTCAAAATCTGTAGAAGGTTGGATCATTTTGAGGTGGGTCGTTGATTTTGTTTATTTTTGTATCGAGACTGAAATTTGTGGAGGGGAGTAAATGGGTAACGTCCGCTGTAAAGATTTTTTAAACTAGACATTCGGACACTGTACATTCGTGAAATATCTCACCTGAGCAAAAAAGCAAATGGAAGACGAGGCCTTTTTTTTTTTTTTTTGGTGACTGTTTCTCCCGTCTCTTAAACTCTAAATTGCATGGTTTTGAACAACTTCAGGGGTGTTTGTGTCTTTCCGAAAAACCAGCCAAGAAAGCGGCTTCTCTCTCTCAACCCCCCACCCCCCCCACCTTTTTTTTTCCCCAATCCGTGTCCGCGTTAACATTGCGAGGGCTTGCTCTGATGTGTGGCTGTGTTGAAAGGACGTGGACGGAGCAGGAGAGAAGAAGATGGCGCTGTCTGGCTGCCTGCCAGGATTTGTTGCGCAGTTTCTGTGATCGCTCTCCTCCCCTACAGGCGCCATTTTGAGCGTCTACTAGTCGTTTTTGCACCCGCTGGGGCGTCGCCCTCTGCTTTTTGGGGGTCTGTTTTGTTACTTCAAAACAGGAAACCTTTAAAAAATGCTTTCCCGTACATATGAAAACCAGATGCTTTCAAAATATGTTCCCGGCCAGACCCTTATTATTTGAAGGACAAATTTCAATGCATATAAGAGATGTCGTTTATAGCCAGTTTCTGCATTGACTTATTGTTTGTAAGCACAGTATCTTGTCAAATGTAATCGGTGGACTTTTCTTTTAAAAGAAAAATAATTTAGTCGTTATTACCTTGTGCAGTTTCCTTGGGATAACTGCGTCAAGGAAAATGAAGGCTGAGGAGCTGTAATCTCACTTTCCCAATCAGATTGGCTTCATGGGGGGGGGGACTTTGAAACTGCAAGTAATAAACCACACACAGTGAAATAAACCCATATTATACCTGGAGAACCTCGAGGTGACTGCTGAGATGTGTGTGATTTGTAAGGTTCGGATTTAAAAATGGAGGTGTATGGCTCTGAGTCTAATGGCCTTTCAGATTCAATTAGTTTCTGTAGATGAACTTTTTTTATCGGATACCACTAAAGTCCTAATGCTGAAAATCTGATAAAGAATGCATTGATGAATACAATAGTATTTTAGTTAAAAACCTATAATAATAACAATAAGAGGTATTTGCAAACAAATAGTCACTTTTGCATTCTATCACCTTCAATGGTGCCATTGAAGAGCTAAACCTTGGGTTTTGAAAACTCAGCCCAGCCAAACATCTGATTGACAGTTACGCTTTTCTGTAAGAACACACTTTGTGGGTGTTTAAACATTGCTTTGGTGTAGTAAAAGTTTAAAAGGAAAAATTCAAGTCTTCTCAAAACTTAGACCTTCCTTCCATGTTGTAGTGTCTTAAAATTAAAAATTGACGTACGAATATTCAAGTTGTATTTTGGTGACATATTTTCCTAATATTTATCTAATCATGCATAAAAAAGGCACATGCTTATAAATGACATGGACATTGTTTTCTTCTTCATAAAGAACAACTAACTAAAATAAAGTGAATTTATGGCAGAATGTGACAGTGCCTCAAGCCAGTATTCACCTATACTTATCCATGGGCTTTTTGGAGATTGAGCACCCACTGCTATAACTAGGCAACAGTTTAGAAAGAGCTTCCCTAGCATATCATCACAGTATTTTTCTTAATGGTTGTGGTGAAAATTATTGGCATTTGAGTTTCCATAACCTAAGATGGCTGTTTCAGACAAAGAGTTTTAGAGAAGTCCAGGTGGGTAGTGGTGTGCATGCACACGAAAGCTCGTACCTTGAATAAAACTTTGTAGATCTTAAAGGTGCCACTGGACTCAAAACAGTTTCAGACAAAGAACACTATAATTTATTTAATAGTATCTGCTTTTCTTCACAGTGTAGTGTTAAGCCAAACTAAATGTAAACAGTTACTGCAGAGTATGGTAAATTAAATAAAATTGATGAATGGAATTACAAATGGAATAGTAGTAGAAAATTTATTAGATATGAGTTTCTCCTCAGTGCAAGACAACATTTGAACTGGATATAAGAGAAGCCAAAATAATGTTCTCTGTATAGAAAGGATATTTCTGAAGCTGAAGTATTTTGATAGGTAAATTCTATCATGTAACTCAAGTTCCACGCAGCCTCCACAGTTTTAAATGTGTCCATGATTATTGTCAAGTCAAGGGTGTCTTCCCCATGGGTTATTTGACCTGAGTGCAGTGCTTTTGCGGAGTGGGGGGTTTCCTGTTCCCTACAGCATTGTGGTCCTTTTGTGCACCTCCAGGGCTTTCACTGGCTTTTCTCCAACCTTTATCAAAACTTTGCTCTGAAGTTTTGGAAAAGAGCACAGAAAAACCTGGAAGGTTGCTGTGTGGGTGGGAAAATTTAGATTTTCTGGCCCACATGGCAGCTGTTTTCCCTGACCCTGTCACAGTAGCAGCAATTTTGTCCTGCTGCATGCTTTAAAATTTTTTTTAAAAAACAATTGGCACTAGATACCACACAGCTAAATTCTCAGTTTTTAATTTTTTTAAAGATAGCCTCTTCCCTTGTAGAGATATAAGGAAAAGGTCAAGGGAGGGTGCTGTATGTGCGTAAAGTGCTGTCAAGTTGCTTCCGACTTATGGCAACCCTATGAATTAGTGTCCTCCAGACCGTCCTATTTTTAACAGCCTTGCCCAGGTCTTGCAGATTGAGGGCTGTGACTTGCTAGATGTCGTGCTCTTATCCTGCTGCCTTCAAATTACCTAGCATTATTGTCTTTTCTAGTGACGTCATCTCAAAATATGACCAAAGCATGATAGCTTCAGTTTAGTTGTTTTAGCTTTTAGAGAGAGTTCAGGCTTACCTCAGCTCTTATTTGGAAACCCCTGTGAAGAGTGAAGGAGCTAGAGACTTGCTTTTTTATATGAAAGCTGGAAATTCATAGAAACTGCTGCAACAATATATTGTTATAATTATATTCTAGAGCTAATTTTAAACAATCAAAAGCCCTAGTGGTCCACGGGAGGGTAGGTGGCCACTTCCAAGGGATTGAGGCAGAGAAACTGGCGAAACCTGTCACATGGAAGCTGTGTTGCTGCTGCAGCTGTACCAACAATGGGAAAACCACAAAATCCTGTTTCTGTGTGGAAGATATTGAGGTCTTGAACATATAAATCCAGGGTTATATCTGCGATGCATGCTACCCATAGTATTCAGGCGCTGGGACTGTGATTTTGTGCAAGAACCTTCAGAATGACAGAGACATCCTGAAATCCAAAGTCAGATAATACTTCATCTATGAGGAATGCGGACTTCTCAACTACATAAGAGAAGCGGGTCTTCTAAGAAGTATGCAAAGGTGGTAAAGGGGCCTTGGGCATGAGAACGGCAGATTAATTGTTAGGGATAGAGACTAAGTTGACATAGCAAAAACGTTATGAAGATCCTTTTATAATTATTTTAAAAAATATGAGGTAAGCACATAAAACCGTGTTTTGCCAGACTTGGGGTGCC